TATGTCACCTTTTTAAGAGCTTTTTTGAATTTTTCGGAATCGAGAGGGGGTGAAAGTAGGATACAGGGGTATTCTTCATTATCAATAAATTGTAACTTATGTTTACGAATAAATTTAGTTCCTTCTTCTGAAAGTGTTTCATCTATTTCACCATCTAATAAATTTTGTGTTGATTCTAAGGCATAATTTTTATATCTTTCTTCATGAGATTTCTGAACTCTGATTCTGAAGCTGGGATATTCATTAAACCCTCTACTTCATTTTCATTATATTTTTCAACTTCTCTTAATTCCTTAATTTTTTCATCTATTTCATCTCTTATTTTTTCCAGTCTTTCAATTTCATTGTATTCATCATCTTTAATCCGTTCTTCATAATATTCAGGGAAAACATCAGGTTCTTTAGGTTTTTCTTCTTCAGATGTGGGATATAAGAAATTTATAACATCATCTTTATTCATTTTTCCATCATAATCTAAATCATTTAAAAACTCCGCGAATTTTTTACAATTTCTTAAATAATATTTATCAACCTCATAACCCGCCTCCTCTAATATATCCTTTATTTCCTCGTTTGTGAATCCCAATTTTTTAACGTTGTTAGTTTTGACGCTCATTTCAAACAAAATAAAAAAAAATAAAATAATAAACATAACTAAGTTTTAATTTTTCGTAAGACATTAGCTTCTAATTTCTTTTACCCGTTTATGAGGTCTTTGATTATGACTCCATTGATTCCATTCAGGATTTAAACAATGTTTAATTAATCGAGGAATATCTGACATCATCTATATATAGCTTCTTTTATAAAAGATGAAATATATTTTTTTTATTTTTTATGTATGTATGGGCTGAGTGTAAATGTCTTACAATTTTGAAAATTTTTTAAATCTTGATTTATTCAAAAACGTAAGAATAAAAACCGTAAGAATCATACATTTTTTACTTCATATGTTAAAAAAAATGATACAAAATCGCTCGATATTGTATGAATTCTTACGTTTACAAAAAAAGTCACACAACCCTCCCTCATATACTACTTTTTTCGAAGAAAAAATTAAATCAATCCTTTAAGCCAGCAGTGACATACTTAGAGTTTTAGTGCATATTTTGTAACTGCTGAATTTCAAGCTCATTTTGAAAATTACATCAAGAATTCCACTCATTTTTTTGAATTACCATAAAGAATTTTTTTTATTTGACCAAGTTTCCTAATTTTTATATAGGACTTTGACTAATAGCACATGTTTATACATATGATAGTTCCTAATTAATTTTTTTTGGTCAATTTAAATTATTCTTTTATATTTTGAAAAAGAGTATTATTGGGAATACAACCATGTTCCCAATATTTGAATGATTATTAGTGTCATAAGTTCTCAATTAATTCAATTTTTTTCAATTCAAAATTGGAATAAGATTGAATTGAGTTGAAAAATTCTATCTCAATTTTCTCAAATTATCTGCAACTTATGTCAAATTTTTCTTCAAAATATTATAACTCAATTCATTAGTTAAATTTATGATATTTTTAAATGACCAGCATTCAAATTTATGTTCAACTGTTATAGACCGAAAATAGATTTTTTCGGTTTTCTCTTCAAATAATTGAAAGAATGATACTATTATAGGTTTATTATATTATATAGCATATAATAATGCTATAGCCGAAAATTATAAGTTTTGAGAAGATTGAATATAACACAAATAAATTTGAATGTAAGTTAAATTGCTTGTTGTTTTTAATAGCTATTTAATGAGAAATCCAATATTGCAAAATTCAAATTGAATGATTGAAAGAACAGAAAAAGTCATTCTTTTCAATTTCGAATATGTTTCATTGTATTTATAATTATATGGCAAATAAGATATTTAAACTTGATTTTTGAAGGAAAATTCACAAAATTGAATAAATTCAAATAATTTTTATTCAAAAATAAACTAGTTATTTGAGTTTAATACTAATTATCTATTCAAACTACAAAGTTTGTAATTTAAAATATTTTGTGAGATCAGATTGAATTAATTCAATGTTCTTTTCAATCAATATTAATGACCATATTACGCATTTTCGAACATTCTAAACCAAATATATAAAAATGGGAGACGAATGTTAAATTTGCTAGACATGGGGGAGTTGTCTGCAAAGTTTTAGCTCTTATCTCTAACAAAAAATTAATTTTTAAAAAAATGACCGAATACGTTTCACAGCGAGAAAAAAATAAAACTGTACACTGATTTTAATTTTCATTTCCAGTCACTTTACTTATTATTTTTTCTTTTTTTCATTTTAATTATAAATTATTTAATAATACGTTAGTAGTAGGATATGAAGGGTTTAGTGACTTTTTTTGTAAACGTAAGAATTCATACAATATCGAGCGATTTTGTATCATTTTTTTAACATATGAAGTAAAAAATGTATGATTCTTACGGTTTTTATTCTTACGTTTTTGAATAAATCAAGATTTAAAAAATTTTCAAAATTGTAAGACATTTACACTCAGCCCATACATAATGAAATAAATCATTAAAAAATTAACATTAATTTTAAAATAATTTATTTTTTTATCTTTTATAAAAGAAGCTATATATAGATGATGTCAGATATTCCTCGATTAATTAAACATTGTATAAATCCTGAATGGAATCAATGGAGTCATAATCAAAGACCTCATAAACGAGTAAAAGAAATTAGAAATAATTATTTTCATGAATAAAAAATAAACTTTAAAAATTCATGTCTTACGAAAAATTAAAACTTAGTTATGTTTATTATTTTATTTTTTTATTTTGTATGAAATGAGCGTCAAAACTAACAACGTTAAAAAATTGGGATTCACAAACGAGGAAATAAAGGATATATTAGAGGAGGCGGGTTATGAGGTTGATAAATATTATTTAAGAAATTGTAAAAAATTCGCGGAGTTTTTAAATGATTTAGATTATGATGGAAAAATGAATAAAGATGATGTTATAAATTTCTTATATCCCACATCTGAAGAAGAAAAACCTAAAGAACCTGATGTTTTCCCTGAATATTATGAAGAACGGATTAAAGATGATGAATACAATGAAATTGAAAGACTGGAAAAAATAAGAGATGAAATAGATGAAAAAATTAAGGAATTAAGAGAAGTTGAAAAATATAATGAAAATGAAGTAGAGGGTTTAATGAATATCCCAGCTTCAGAATCAGAAGTTCAGAAATCTCATGAAGAAAGATATAAAAATTATGCCTTAGAATCAACACAAAATTTATTAGATGGTGAAATAGATGAAACACTTTCAGAAGAAGGAACTAAATTTATTCGTAAACATAAGTTACAATTTATTGATAATGAAGAATACCCCTGTATCCTACTTTCACCCCCTCTCGATTCCGAAAAATTCAAAAAAGCTCTTAAAAAGGTGACATATGCAACTAATACGATTAAGAAAGAAGATCATGATATTTACACAAATTATTATTTAAATAAATGCACAGGTGTTGATAAAGTTTTTGATTTATTAGATAAAATATCAAAAGAAACCATTGGAACCTATAAAATTTTGTGTGATTGTGGTTTCATTATTGAAGATACCAATAATGTTTCATATGAAAGAACAGCACCGAAGGAAGACGAAGTTGAAAGGTCTATACCATTCGTTATTAAGAATATAAAAGATATGAAAACGTATAAGCATTATATTTATTCATTTATTTCAGAAAAAATGGAAGCAACCCATAAAACATCTTCTCATCATTTTATAGCTATTCATACATTCCTTTTCAAAGTTGTGAAATTAAATAAGACAGGAATTAGATTTAATGTATCAGGGTACGCATTCTTGAGTAAATTAAAATGTATTCGTCACGTCGCAGATGATAAAAATTTATGTGTTCTTAATTCATTTTATGGGCTTTAAAAATAAACTTTATTTTTATTTATTTTTTAATTTTTTATTCTTACATAAATGAACAAAAACGGAACAGCTAAAATGAATGATAATCAAATTAGAGCAGAAGGTAGAAGGTTATTTAAACGCTTCTATAACATTCCTGATGGTGCTAATCCTAAAACTCGTAGGAGCTATTTAAATGAAGCAATAGATGCATATGAAGGGTTTGACATTTCATCAGAAAGTGAGAGATTAGCGAGAATGTTAAATGTTAATATTGATTTCTATTATTGTGATCCTCAACCAGAAGACGTGGACATAAATATAGGTAGACTTTCCATTAGTGGAATCAATAATGATAGATCCAGAATTTGAAACAGTAAATATTTTATTAACACAGAGTCCATGTGGAAAACTTCACGCTGACAGAATAACAGACGTTGAAGCACTCACCGGCTATAAAGTTTGTCCATTTTGTAAAGAAGAAGTTTATTCTATCCGTGATGATCCAGAAAGGAAAACCAAAGAAGATTTTTAAAGCATTGTGAGAAATGTAAAGAAAATAATGGGAGATTAATTCAAGACGTTCAGTTGCAAAAGACACAGCAACCATATGCACCACATATTACGAAACAGAAGATATATCAGTGGTTATTAGCTCACAATTTGCAGAAATATTATAAACCGACAAGATATTATATTACTTTTGACTTTGAAACATTAGAGACTAAAGAAGAATTACAACTTTCTGAGTGTGCAACTTTGAATGCTTACTTAAAACCATTCATGGTATCATCAACGGTTAAATTAAACGATAAAACATATACGAGGAATTTTTGCTTAACTTCGAGTGATTCTTTTATTTCTGATTGGATTGAGTTTTTATTTTCAACCTGTTCATTAGTTGTTGAATCAAATATGAGTCAATATGAAGAATTATTGAAGCCGCAAACGGTGGGGACTTTGTCTCATACATTAAATGAAAAACAGAAGGAAGCATTTAAAGAACTTCTAGATGAGGAATTCAATAAAGTGAATATCATAGGTTTTAATTCGGGAAAGTTTGATTTAAATTTAATTCTTCATGATTTAAACACTGCAAAATGGAAAATAAAATCAATGCTGGGTTCATCTTCACAATTTAAGCAAATCGTTGTAAAGAAAACAAACGTTCCATATGAATTGAGATTTATTGACATCAGAAATTATATAGCGGGTGGGACATTAGACCAATTCACTCAAGATTTCGGAAACAATAAATCACGTGTTAAATCCTTTTTCCCTTATCAATTCATCACGTGGGAAAATTACGAAGAAGAATTATATAAAGTGGAACCATTCACTCAAGATTCATTTTATTCAGCATTAACCCAAGAAACTATATCAGATAGTGATTATCAAATATATCTCAATGATGCTAAAAATTTTAAGAATAGATTAGAATATTTTATTCATTATTGCAATAAAGATGTTGAAATTATGATTGACCCAATCGATAAAATTATTGAAGAAACATTTGTTTATAAAATTGATATGCTTCATAATCTTTCTTTATCATCGAATGCTTCAATGATTCGTTACGCTTTAGCATATAAAGACTTTAATCCTAATGAAAAATATCCTGAGGAAGAGATAGAATCAAGTTTTGAATTAACGAAAAAGTATTGGAAATATAAAATTGAATCATATAAGAAACAAGATGAAAAAGCAGAAAGAGAAACTAAAAATAATGTTTCAATGGATGATTTTCAATACTATCACGATTTAATCCTTTCATCTAAATGCAAAATGTGTGGTAAAGCGTTTACATATGCTAATAAACCAACATTGGATAGAATCGATAATGAAAAACCACATACTAAAGAAAATTGTCAGTTAATGTGTTGTTATTGCAATGTCGTAAAATCAAATAAAGATGAAGATGTTCAACGTTTAAGAATCAATTTAAGAAATTATGCATTAAAAAATAATTTACCAATGACTTTAGATTCAGTTGAAGCTTATCACATTCTCCGTAATGGAATTACTGGTGGTCTATCAAATGTTCAACATAGAGTAAATCTTAAAGGAATCACGCACATTAATAAACTTGCATATAATTCAGAAACTAAAACTGTATCAAATGAGGACACCACCAACATTATGACTCATTTCGTTGGTGTTGATTTTAATTCATTATATCCTTCATCATTTTCATCTAATCCTCATGATTTCATTCAATATACTGACCATAAAATGTATATGCCGGGAAGATTGAATGGTGTTATCATTTGTGATACAGCAACAAAGAAAGCAAAAGCACTGGGAATAATTAAGAAGAAAAATACTTTATTCGTGGCTGAAGTAAAGGGTCACATTGATGAAAAATACATTAATGATTACATAAACTTTTTACCGATAATAAGAAACTTAGATATTATCACAGATGAAAAAACAATTGGCAGTTTTATGTATAATTACATGAAATCAAACAATCTACCGGTTGACCAGAAACAGAGGAAATTAACTCAGTTAGCATCAACATACAACCAATATCAACCATTTTCTTCTTATTATCTTTGGTATCTAATAGACAGATTTCATTTTATCATTGATGACATTCAATCAATTTTAACATTTACTAAAAACACTTGTTTTAATGAATTTGCGAACGAATTTATGAACGAAAGACAAAAGGCTGAATTAGAAGGAAATAAAGGAAAAAGTTTATTTTGCAAGATTTCGCTTAATGGATCATATGGTTATGATGCAATGAATACACAAAATTACGCAAAGACTAAAATAATGAATGCACAGAAAGCACGCGTTGCATGTATGTCAAATAAGTTTAAAAACATAAGAGAAATAGGTGAAGATACATATCAAGTGATGCTTAAAGATAGATTTTATAGATGTGATACATGTTTACAAGAGGCATTCTTCACTTTAGATAATGCTAAATACTGGTATTTGGTTTTCATTTATGATTTTATGTATAAATGCTTGAATGTTAATCGTTTTCATTTCATTGAAGGTGATACTGATTCATCTTATTGGGCAATCGCTGGCGACCCAAATCTTCCTAACACTCAAGCATTTCAAGCAATTGTTACCGATAAACAATTTTATGATAAAAACATTTTCAAATTCGCACCATTTGATTTCTTCTGTTTTGATGAGAAATTTAAACCTAAATTAAAGAATAAAGCTGAAGAAAAAGCACATGAGAAGAAGTTATTGGGTTTAGCAATTCAGAAACAAGGTGATAACATGGTTGCTTTATGCCCTAAGTGTTATACATCATTCAACGGTTCAATTGATGGAAGTGATTTTAAAAAGATTGCACAAAAAATGAAAGGTGTTAGTTTACGACAAAATAAACAATTAACACCTAAAAATTATTTGGGTATAATAAATGATAAAGTGATATTTGATGGTCAGAATATTAATTTACAACTTAAAAACGGGTCAATGACTCGCTTAACAATCGGTAAGACTGCATTAACAGGAGCACACACTAAGGCTGTATGTTGTGAAAATGGATGTTGTATGCCATTTATTTAATACAATTTAAAATTTTATTTTTAATAAAATGCCACAGAAGAGACAAAAGGAACCGTAAATAATGGTTTTGATACTATGATTCAAAGAGGTGGGCCCCCTTAAACATTTATTTTATTTTTATATAAATGGATAACACAGCTTTAAAAAATTTAATTTATGATTTAGTACTTAATCAAAATTTTCTTAATTATTATGAATTAAAATCATATCTCCAAAAACATAATAACAATATAACGGGTGATGATATGGATTATTATTATCTATATTATAAAAATGAAATTTTGAAATATCATGATAAAATAATTTCTAAAATTAAAGACAAAATTAAAAATAATGAATATACAAAGGAAAAAACTAAATCACAACTTAAACAATTGAAAGATTTCAAAAATAAAGTATTAACAGAAGAAGATATTGATGAATTATATAAATTATATAATCATGAGCCGCAAAAAACAAAGGAACAAAAACAAAAGGTGCAAAACGCCCAGGTCCTTCAGACCATAAATGAAGCACAAGCTTTAATTTATGATTCATTAGTTAAACCATATTCAGCCCGACTTTTAAATGAAGATCAACTTTTGGAATTCATCCTTCAACATAAACTCGAAGCGGGAAAGTATATCAAACCTTTATATACAGCATATTTAAAACAAATGAATAGAATACATCCAGAATTAATGAAGGGGGGAATGAAATCCAAAATCAAAGCAGATAAAATTAAACCACTTGCAACACCAAAACCTCCAACGACAGTACCTCCTCCTCCTTCAGTTAATCCTTCATCATTCACTTTATTATATCCATTTCAAACATTAAAGAAGCAAAAAGATTTTAAAAAGGATTTCAAGATATTAAATAAACCAATTGACCCGAAAATTCAACCGTTAAAGGAAAAATTTGGTCGCCCTTCATTTGCTCCATATCCATATTCATACGAAATCGATCATTTAGAATATTCAAAAGGAAACGTTACTTATTTATTTGCCATTAACATTAACACTAGATATTTATATTGCATTCCGGTGAAAGGGAAAACAGAACAGGAAACAAGAAGAGCTATACAATACTTACTAGATCATGAAAGAGTAGATAATATCAGGGGTGATGGTGATAAAGGATTTCAGGCAGCTATGGCTCATTATTTCCCACAAATTAATTTTTACTTTTCATCCTCTCCATATACGTTTCATAATAAAATAGTTGATGCGGTAATGAGAACTCTTAGAGATGCGTTAGGGGTTAACGGTCAGATATACTGGGATGGAAATCATGACTCCATCATACAGCAGTTAGTATATTATTACAATAATACATGGCATAGAACTATAAACATGAAACCAGTGGAAATGAAAAATGATATTTCAAAAGAATGGGAATATATTAGAAAGCAAATGGAAAGGTTAAATGATGTTAAACGTGAACAAATTAATTCGGGGCTCATGAATTTTAAACAAGGGGATAAAGTTTTGATTCATCTCGATTATGGAAAAACTGATAAATCAATGACAAAAAGAAGACGAAGATTTGACACAATAGCTGAATTTGTTAGATATATTAACGGCAATGCATTAGTTGAAGTTGACAATAAATTAATAGAAATTCCGATTTATTTTATTACTCCATTATATTTAAATAATATTTAATTTTTTTTATTTCGTAAGAAATGAGTGACAACGAAGCAGCCAAGAGTCCAGACGATGAATATAAAAAGAAACTAAACAGAATTAAATCAAAAATATGCTATTACAAAAAGAAGCCGCAATGTGGTGGGGTTGAAAACGATCAAGAGATGAAAGAAATAATCGAAAAATTAAAAACTTACCGTTCAATCCTTAAACTGAGTGAAGCAAAAATAAAAGAATTTAATAGAATAAATAAATTGATTGGAAGAGATGAATTTAATAAAGATGAATTTTTAAACTCAATCCAAATTTAATTTTTATTCCTCATCTTCTCTGTTTTTCGTGGTTTGTTGTTTTTAATTTTTCGATTATTTCTTTCTTCCCTTGTTATGATTCGTGGTAAATTTTGAGCTTGTGGGGTATTCATTCATATAAAAATAAAATTTGATGTTATCGTTATTTTATCATTAATGGTTTCAGGTTATTCAATAATGAATTATTTTTGAAGAACTGAAGGTGCTATCATTTTGACAACAACACGAGAGGAAGGCAATAATGAATTATTTTTGAAGAACTGAAGGTGCTACCATGTTGTCATGTTGACGACATGACATTGTGTCAACAACACGAGAGGAAGGCAATAATGAATTATTTTTGAAGAACTGAAGGTGCTACCATGTTACCGGGTGCTACCATGTCAATTAATTTCTTTTAAAAATGGTGACAACATGACATTTTGACAACAACACGAGAGGAAGGCAATAATGAATTATTTTTGAAGAACTGAAGGTGCTACCATGTTGTCATGTTGACGACATGACATTGTGTCAACAACACGAGAGGAAGGCAATAATGAATTATTTTTGAAGAACTGAAGGTGCTACCATGTTGTCATGTTGACGACATGACATTGTGTCAACAACACGAGAGGAAGGCAATAATGAATTATTTTTGAAGAACTGAAGGTGCTACCATGTTGTCATGTTGACGACATGACATTGTGTCAACAACACGAGAGGAAGGCAATAATGAATTATTTTTGAAGAACTGAAGGTGCTACCATGTTACCGGGTGCTACCATGTCAATTAATTTCTTTTAAAAATGGTGACAACATGACATTTTGACAACAACACGAGAGGAAGGCAATAATGAATTATTTTTGAAGAACTGAAGGTGCTACCATGTTGTCATGTTGACGACATGACATTGTGTCAACAACACGAGAGGAAGGCAATAATGAATTATTTTTGAAGAACTGAAGGTGCTACCATGTTGTCATGTTGACGACATGACATTGTGTCAACAACACGAGAGGAAGGCAATAATGAATTATTTTTGAAGAACTGAAGGTGCTACCATGTTACCGGGTGCTACCATGTCAATTAATTTCTTTTAAAAATGGTGACAACATGACATTTTGACAACAACACGAGAGGAAGGCAATAATGAATTATTTTTGAAGAACTGAAGGTGCTACCATGTTGTCATGTTGACGACATGACATTGTGTCAACAACACGAGAGGAAGGCAATAATGAATTATTTTTGAAGAACTGAAGGTGCTACCATGTTACCGGGTGCTACCATGTCAATTAATTTCTTTTAAAAATGGTGACAACATGACATTTTGACAACAGTTCAGGAAATTTGATGTAGCCCAAAAATAAAGTTAGTTTTAAAATTATTTTTATTTTTTTATTCCTATATAAATGACGGCAACAAACAACAACAGCAACTATATCGTTTCTGATGAAAAAGTTATTGATTCATTAGTTGAGGAATTAGTTGTGGCAGAAACTAAAACCCTCAACGAAAGAATTGGTGAAAACATGATTGATTTACATAACTACCTCAAACATGATGGAGGAAGAGGAAGGAAAACTGGTATGGCTTTATTAGTAAATAAAATTCCAAATTTAACGATTATAGATGTTGATATCAATAAATCGTACAATGATGAACTTAAAGAAACGGTTAGAAAAGACATTTTATCAAAACTTTCGGATAAAGATGTTATCGTTAAAACCGCTTCTGGAGGTCTTCACATTTATTGCAACACTAATTTCTTCTATGCAGTTTCGAACAGAATGATTAAATGTTATTCCTGCAATGATTATGATATTGATATCATGACTTCTATTGATGATTCAAAACGTTCTTTAGTAGTTATGGCTGATTCAAGAGTTCGCAAGAATGCAACAGAATCAATCAATACATACTCATTCATTCGTGGAAGTTATGATTCAACATTAACCAGAACAGTGAATGATATATTAAATGATTTGAATATTAAGGTAAAAGTTGAACAGAAGAACGAAGAAATAAAGACTATCATGAATGAAAACAAAGATGTAAACATTGACGATAAACTTGCCCAGAGCATAGTTGATGGCATCTGTGATTTTGAAGTACATAATGACGGTGGAAACATGAATTTAGAAAAAGAAATAACATTATTCACACTGTTTCAAGCAATTAATTCGTTACCTAATCATTTGATTAATGAAGCATACGATAACGTTTATAACTTCTGCAGTTTAACAGAAAATGCAAAAAGTAATTTTGAAAAAGCACGCAGTAGATATGCATATTTAATGACTTCTCCATTTGTTTTGGTGAAGATTCTAAAACTATATCAAAAGGAATATTATGATGAATATGTTTTACCTCTATTACGTAAGCCAAAAATACCATTTGATATCAAACTTGACGACTCGTTTTTGATAACAGATATTAGACGCAAGGCTGAAAATCATCAGTATAAAAACAGTTCTGAAGTAATTGAGGATTTATCACGTGTAATCCGTTTTGTAGATTGTGGAAACAAATATTTCATTCAAAAGGAATATAATATCCACGACAAAATGAATCAAATATCATTCGTTCTTCAATCAAACATGAAAGAGTCACTCAAAATGATTAAATTATTTAAAGAAGAAGGTAAAACAATAACAGCATGGGATGTACTACTAAATCAATTGTCTTCATTAACCGTTAAGGGTGTTTGCTTTAAATCTGATTCCCCCGATGTTTTCTCAACGTTTCAAGGTTATAAATACAACGTTCTCGAAAAGCCTGATTACTCAAAAATTGAGATGTTTATGAATTTCATTAAAGAAGCCATTTGTGATAATAATGAAGAAGTGTATAAATACCTACTCGGGTGGATTGCATCAATGATTCAACATCCTGGAATCAAGAATGAAACAGCAATTATTTTGAAAGGACTTCAGGGAACAGGTAAAAACAGATTTACAGACATTATTTCTGAACTTCTCGCTGGTTATTCATGTAAAAACATTACTGAAATCGGTGAGCTAACGGGTAATTTCAATTCGGTAGTTGAGAATAAAATGTTTCTTGTACTTAATGAACTCAAGAATGTTGGTGAAGACAGACTCGCAAACTTCAACGCTTTGAAATCAATTATAACGGATAATGAGATTAGAATTAATGAAAAGAATCAACCCAGAAGAACCGCTCAAAACGTTGCGAACTTCATTTTGGTAACTAATAACGTCTACCCTGTCAAAATTGAAGTTGGAGACAGAAGATATGTAGTTTTAAGGGTTAATGGTAAATTTAAGGGTCAATTTGATTACTTCAAGAATTTAATGGATTCATGCACAAAGGAATTTTATGATAATTTACTGACGTATTTTATCAATTACGACCTTTCATCATTTAATGTACGAATCATTCCGATGACTGAAGCCAAACAAGATTTAATTGAATTATCAACAAATCCTTTAGATGTATGGATAAATACACATTATGATGAATTGAGTGCAGGTATGACGTGTGAAAATGCTCTATTCTGCAAACCATCAGACATGAAAGACAAGAATTTTCAAATGAGTATTAAGGATAAATGTGAAAGGAAACAAAGAAGAATAGATGATAAACAGACATGGTGTTATGTTTTGAAAGAAGAAATGAAAGGATTATATAAACAGGTTGAACCAAACGATAATGAGGATTCATTTACTGATGATGAAATACCTGTAAATGAAGCTTTATAAAGTATGATTCGAATTCATTATTGAATAACCTGAAACCATTAATGATAAAATATATTTTTGGTTGTTAATGACAAAAATAAATGGTTCATTTACTCACAATATTTTTGTACAAAACGACCCCAAACTTTTAACTTCTTTTCTGCAGTTTCTAATGCTATCTTAGCGAGTTCATATTCTCTAAATTCTCTCTTTAAATCTTCTTGTTCCCATTGATCTAGTTCGTATGAAGAATCTCTATAACCATAACATATCTCATGTTCATGTTCTAATTGTTTTTCACACATTTTTCCAACTTATTCTTCAAACAAATGTTTAGCATTCTCTACTGTATCTTCGAGTTCTTCTTCATCTAATTTCTCATGAACTTTCTTGTCTATGGAGTCCATAATATCTTTGACATAAAATGCATACTTTACTGAGCACCATTCAGCAACAAAATGAACGAGGTCAGGATGTATGTAAATACCTTTGAATTCATTTATAACGCCCTTAGTAAGCTCATAAAATGCTTGTTTTGAGGTCGAGCCACTTTTGGCTTGACCGTATTCGTTCATCCAAAACTCAAGAATTTCCCGCATTTTAGTACTATTGAGAAATCTGTTTAAATGGTTTAACCTTCCCGCTTCTCTTGCCATCTTTGTTGCATTAATGTAACCATCCTTGTCTCTACGTAAGACTTCAATACCATTATAAGTGCCTTTTGTGAATGTTTCGCCATTAGATTTGTTCGTAAATGTTTTTGCTTCGACTGACATTTCTGATTTAATATTAATTAAAAAATAAAAATAATTTTAAAACTAACTTTATTTTTGGGCTACATCAAATTTCCTGAACTGTTGTCAAAATGTCATGTTGTCACCATTTTTAAAAGAAATTAATTGACATGGTAGCACCCGGTAACATGGTAGCACCTTCAGTTCTTCAAAAATAATTCATTATTGCCTTCCTCTCGTGTTGTTGACACAATGTCATGTCGTCAACATGACAACATGGTAGCACCTTCAGTTCTTCAAAAATAATTCATTATTGCCTTCCTCTCGTGTTGTTGACACAATGTCATGTCGTCAACATGACAACATGGTAGCACCTTCAGTTCTTCAAAAATAATTCATTATTGCCTTCCTCTCGTGTTGTTGTCAAAATGTCATGTTGTCACCATTTTTAAAAGAAATTAATTGACATGGTAGCACCCGGTAACATGGTAGCACCTTCAGTTCTTCAAAAATAATTCATTATTGCCTTCCTCTCGTGTTGTTGACACAATGTCATGTCGTCAACATGACAACATGGTAGCACCTTCAGTTCTTCAAAAATAATTCATTATTGCCTTCCTCTCGTGTTGTTGTCAAAATGGTAGCACCCGGTAACATGGTAGTAGTGAAATTAAATTTTGTTATCAGTTATTTTGTCATCATTTTATTAAGTTCATCTTTAGTTAATAATTTGAATGGATTCGCTAATGTTCCACCTTGAGTCACAACACTTGCCCCAGCTAATTGTGAAGAACCTGGGATAAGTACTCCACGAAATGATTTCATTGGTATCATTAATTTAGAAATAGTTGGCTTAATTAATTTTGTCATTTATGATAAAAATAAAAATTTAAATTATGCCGTTCGCTCTTTTGGAGCTCAGGACTTTCAGTCCGTTCTAAAGTTTGTTTCACAAACATTGAGCGTTCATTGAACTCTATACCATGCGTAAACCGTCATGTAAGGTGGCATGTATTCTTTACTTTGTCCTGTTGTTTGTGTATATCCTGAAACGAAATGTGTATGGTTTCCTTCTCCCTGAGTGTCACTCCAGTAACAATTTATAGCAAACTTAACGTCGTCTTTAACATCATATCCTTTACCTTTTGTCATTCCTGACCAATCCAAATATCTATGCTTATGCCAACCTGCTTGAGATGTGCTTAAATCTATGTAGTGACTGTGTGCAGGTAAATTTTCACCTGAAATCGTTTTACTTCCACCTGTTTCCTTTGAAGAGTTTGCACAATACAAAAACTTGTCGACTATTTGTTCCCATGCACCAACACCAAACATTGCTTGAGGACCTCTTGCATCCATAGATGTATAAATAGAACCTACTGGGTTCATTAAATCAAACATATGAGATATTATAGGATTGTCTCTTTTGAACTTAAGATATAATGCAACTATTTCAGGTTTCTTTTGGTTTGTGTCAGAATATTTTTTATAATATAATCTTATGTTTTCAGGGTAGGTAAAATCTTGACTATAATATTTATTTCTGTCATCTGTATAATAATATACTATTCTCGTTTTTTCTATTGCATTATATCTTTTATATCTATAATAATCTAAATATAATGTTAGCTTTTGTTCATCTACATGTGGTGTTCTGTCGTCATCTCCATAGTCATAATAATATGGTGCTGGAGCTGGGTCAGACAATGTCATATCTGCCATTTCATAAACTCTTAAATATTTCTTTTGTTCGTCTCCATATAAGTTTAAGTAACAGTTGTTATCTAATGGAACTTTAACTTGTGTACCATTATTCTTTTTATAGCTTACATACATTTCATTGTTATTTTTCGGAATGAGTTTACACCGTGTACCATTTTTTAAGGACTGTACAAACTGCCATCTAAAATATTTATTTTCTTCATTGACAGAAAAGTCACCAACAATAGTTTCAATATTTTTTGTTGTTCCTATCAAACTTTGGTATATTTCGTTAACATAAGTTTTATCCACTTTCTTCATTAACTCATCATTAACATAAGTTTTATCCGCTTTCTTCATTAACTCATCATTAACATAAGTTTTATCCGCTTTAAGGTCTAAACATCCTGAAACCCATCCTGTATCAGCTTTAACTTTAAAAGTCTTCAATGTCCATTCATGATACCATTCAACCCTTTCTTTAATTTCATTATCTTTTTCATCCACATATTCCTTATCTGCCTTCTTCATTATGTCGTTTAGGAAACCTTTTATGAATTCCTCATTTAAATTAAATCTTCCAATCTTCAAAACTTTAGGAAATGCATTTAATGCGTAATATCTTTGTTCTTCTGGTGGAATTGATGTTATATCATCTGTTATTCCTTTAATTTTTGAATTCATAAATAAAATTTCTTTTATATTTGATATCACTGCACCACCTTTGCAAACGAATTCGAAACGCTCATTTTTCAATACTATCTCCAAATCTCCATATTTCAACCTTTGTGTTTGTTCTGCCATCTTTGAATTATATGCATATATGGCGTATGTAATGGTCTGAAGGACCTGGGTGCTTTGCGCCTTAAGTTGCTGTGGTTGCTGTTGTTTAATCATTTATTATGATTTAAAAATAAATATTTAATCCGTTATCTCATCAGCTATTTTTTCTATTTGAAATTGCCATAATATTTCATTCATAAATTCTAAATCACAATCAAATAGGTCAGTTATTCTAAATTTAATATTTGATAAATCTTTTGAATGAAGAATAAATGAATTCCCGGATAATTGAAACGGATATGATAAAGAAAATGTGTTTAAGTTGATGGATAAAATGTTTTGTATTGATGGGTAAGAGTTAGGGTCTAATGTTTGATGTGAAAATCTCATTGGGTATTAACTTTATCACATTTGATTAAAATGAAATTGGAACCAGTGTCAGAATACAAAACATCCCAACATCTTTTTCAAAATTTAATATCCCCAACAATGAACGAAATGAGGAGTACAAAATTTAATTTTCAGCGGGAATTTAATAAGGTTATTTATTTCATCAAGTTCAAAAAGTTTATCAGGTTTTGATTTAAAATTTTCTTCATACCATACGATAAATGATTCATTTAAATAACTTAAAATCGTGTTAATATCCCATTTCGCTATCACATTATTTATATACATATCATACGTTTTTTCATGGTCATCTTTAATAAATGATATATAATCTGAAGGGTCTAAAAGAATGGGATTAAATTTACCACTCACAGAAACGAGAGTAACATTATAAATTCCTAACTGTTAAATTTAATTCACAACTATTATTCGAAATAATATTGATAATTGACATTTTTATTACGATTAAAAATATGGTAAAGCGTTATTTTCCAGTGATAAATAAAACTAGAATAAGATTACCTCAAGAATTCATAAATTCAACGAATAAGAAATTCATTCATGTTATAAATTTTAGTGTTTTCAGAAAATATGAGTCGATGTCATATTCATCAACAGGTTATATTTCACTTCATTCAAATTTAGTTCAATCAAACCCATATAATGACCATTTCATAAGATTTTCAGATGGTATTAAAAATGTAATTGATAGATTAAAATATGAACAGATTGACAATATCGAATTTTTGGAATTTTGGTTTAAATATCCCGATGGAAAAAAGATTGAAGTTAAAGATAAAGCTGATACTATAACAAAAACAATTACAATGACCGATCCGGATAGTGGGGAACAAAAAGAAATAAAACAAACGATAGAAACTGGTGAAAGGTCAATTATTATTGATTATGATTCAAAGGATTATTATTCGATAATGTTAATGCTTGAATATTAAATAGCCTTAACAAAGAATTTTTCAAGTGATATTTATATTCATCAACTATTTTATTATAAATATCATTATATGTTAAATGAAGTTCAGTTGTTGTTCCATTCTTTGTATCTTAATTGTGCTAATATCCTTTATAGGATTTATTTTTGCAACTGTTCCGCAGCATGAAACCTCATCATCTATGAAAAATTGAATCTTAACGTCTGAATCTTGAACATCACAAAGAATGGCGATAATGTGAATTAATGATTCATAAGGTAAAATAATTAAACCGGATTGGTCAATTAAATTTATTATTGAATCATAATTATTAATTATTATATCACGGTAAATTTTCATTAATTCAGAATTAATGTCTATTTTATATGGGTTCTCGATGTTTGATGAAAGAGGTGGGGGTATGTTGGATAAGTGGGAATTTCAACAGGTTCTTTACCAGGTTCAGATAAAATGATTGGGTCTCCATTCTCATGGTTTTCTTCATTCTCCTCATCTTCGGTAAGTCACGAGTTAATAAATTTGGTTGAGTTGCTGACCTTGTTAATTCAGGGCTAACATTAACTTTAACATTTTGAATAATTCGTGATTTATCATCATTTACGTTATAACCAACCGTAATCTCTGCTTTTGCGTTAGTGTTCTTTTGACTAGTGAAACGTCTTCTCATTTATAATCGAATAAAAAAATATATTTAAACTTTTATTTTGCTGGAACTTTTGAATCTATTATTCCCTGTATTTGTTCATGAAGTTGATTTTTAGCTGTTTCATCGAAATTAATAGACCGAATATATTCATTAATTGCATTCTTATAATCATCTGATTTCTCAAATTTTCTTTTATCTGATTCCTTAACTAAATCATAAGTTAAACCTCGTTGCTGATATAATGGTTTCTTAATTAAATCTTTGAATGCTTGAGATAAAGCACCTGATGCAATTCTTGCTACTATAATTGGTTGGAATTGCTGTTTAAGTTCATCTTTAACATTTGCGAAAACTGGATCGAATAAAGCAACTTTAAAGAATTTCTTAGCTGAAATTTCAGGTCTAATATTTGCATATTGACCATCAAACTGGTTAGAATATCGTGGTAATCCATCCGGTCCTCTTCAATAGCATTTAATTCTTCATTGAAATAAGAATATGGATTATGACGGTATGAATTAATTGGACCATTTTCACCTTCTCCAATGTATTGTTTAACAGCTTTTCCATTTTCATCAAATTGCATAGGATAACGTTCATTATATGCTTTACGTTTAGGATAATCAGATATAGTTAATTTATAACCATTTATGACTTTAATATTACCTTGACCATCAGTAACGAAAACTTCATTTATACCATCAGGTTTTCCATTTGGACCCGTAATGTCTGCTTCGTGTGCTTCCCAATTTGGACCATGACGTTTGGCATATGCTTGAGCTTCTGGTAATGTTAAAACGTTTCTCATTTGTTTAACATCTTTTTGAAGACCAGCAACAATATGAACTAATTCTTTCATTCCATCAGGAACTTTCATAGTTCTATTATATGCACCCTTTTGTTTGTCCCTTGTTTTAATGGAACCTGTAGAAGATTTGCTATTTCTGTCATGTTTAATTATAAATAAAAAATAAAAATTAATTATAAAAAGTTAATCAAATTTAACACCCCTTTATTTAAATCAACTATTATTTTTCCATGTTCACCTAATTGCTGATATTGTGTGTAAAGTTCATTAATGCTCATTGGTAAATTCACTTGATAAAGCATAACGTTCAACTGTTGACGACTAAACCCACTGAAAATGAAAAGTGTTGATAGATTTGATTTAATGTTTGTGCTTAATGCTTTGAAATATTGAACAGCCATAAAGAATGAACACTGAATGTGTCGACATTGAGTTAATAACTGATTAAAATATGATTTCTCATTTGTTATTAGTTTTGATTTCACTGCATCATCTAGAAAAATGAGTGAATGCAAAAATTCTTATCAAAATTTGAAATGAAAGTGTTTCAAATAATTCATCCCGTTGTTTATCAATAATTTTATCCTCTAATCCTTGCTTCTTGATTGTATTATATAATTCTTTATACATTAAAAAGTTTTTTAAATAATCTTCTGCTTCTTCTTGTGATAAATAAATAATTGGAATTTTGATTAAATGCTTTAAAGATTCAAATGTATCATCTGAAGGTGAACCTGAACGGTTGATATAAATTAACACATGTGAATGGGGGGAAGTGTTAGCAATAATGATAATTTTTTTAATATCGTTAATGTTTTACCTTTATTTTGTTTACCAATTGCTGCAGTGATTGAATTTAAGTAACATTCAGAATATGGAATTTCATTATTTTTCCTTATATAGAGCATTTCTATTATCACTCAATGCTTCATTAATCATATCATCTACGTATGTATTATATACTCCTGCTAATTCTTCATAAGGGGTGGATGAATTTAAATCCATTTAATCAAAAATAAATTTATAATTTTAAACATTTCTATTCATCAATATTTCATCATATGAACTTCTATACTGTGGTGGTGTACCTGTTGGATGATATTTCAAACCTTCGTCCGGTGTCCATGTCCAATATGTAGTCCTAGTAAACCAAACCTGAGGAGGATTTGTCACCTTTGAACAGTAAGTGTCATTTTCACCCTGAATGATTGGATAAGCTTTCACTTGTACTGTAACTTGTGAGTTGAAAGTTTCTAATCCATCAAAGAATATACCCGCTCCATTACGTTGAACTGGAATAGTGCATAAGAATGAAGTTTGGTCTTTCCATGTTCTAGCTGATGGCGTGCCATCATCTGCATTCAGTGGTCTAGTTAATGAGTCCTCGTATTCTTCCGTGCATTCATTCACTCCATCTAAATCAGAAGCTTGAAGCATACGTGTAAAGAATATGTCGCCCACTGTGGTCATCGCTTGATCGGGGAAGTTTCTGGAATCTATAGTGACCTGAAGACTCGAAGCATTGGATTTTCTAAAACTGTTCTTTGCATTGCATTCTTCGGAAATGTTAACACAACATCTGTAACATTATGAAGAGCGTATGAGAAATCCGAGCTAATACCTTCAGGAGTGATGCAACCTCCATTTAGTGAACGAACGTCAATATGTTGAGCTGGAATCATGAATGGATCTTCCTTACTAAATAAACGTGGTATTGCTTTAACTGATTCTTCAATTAAACCGTATCCTGGTGTAATGCATTTATCCTCTAAAACTTCCATCTTTGTGCATGAAATAATAACTTATCAACTGTTGCCTCAGCAATGTAGCGGCTAAGCTTGTAATTAATTTGGCAGGAAGTCCGATTTGTTGGAATTTGCGATCATTTATAAACATGATTCATAATTTTTCATAATTTTCATCAGTTATCTTTTCATAAACGTAATTTTGTAAATCAGCAACTCTTAACGGTCAACCTGACAAAATACTAAAGTATCCCTGAAAACATAATATTTAAGAATGATATCACCAAATGATTTAGGATAATCATCGAACGCCTGAAATGCTAACAAATCATTTACCGGAATAATCATATCAAAAGTGATATCAACTTCTTCATTTGCTCTCTTGAAAACTTCTGAAGGGTCAATATATTTACCACATACTGAGTTATCATATTTTGAACATTATTATATAACGAATGAACAAAACTTTTTAACTTTCCTTTCTGATTTCGGTTTATATGTTGCAAATGCAAAAGATTCACGGCGCAATCCATCTGAAGATAACCGGCATCACTCTTTCGGTTTCTACTTCTAAT